TTTATTAAAGCTAAAACTGCCTTTTTTGAAATTAAAAAAAAAATGTTAAAAAATACCTATTTAATGATCCCAGTAAGCTACATAGCCTCAGATAGGTGCTATTTTATAGTATATTCATTCTACTCACAGTTTCATGCCTAAAGTCAAACATTTTTCACAGATGTTTATATATCAGCTGAACTTGCTATTGAAAGTACTTAGATCAGTTAAGATATTTTGCTAACCAATAAAATGTGTGTGATGTGGGGAGGAAATAGTCTCCAGATTTCAGTGACAACACACTCGCCCAAATAGCAGACGTAAATGAGTGTACGTGTCGTTGATAGTTTTCTTGTGTATTATGACTCAGGGGCTACACTCTGTCCACCTGTAGTTTCTCCATCTTCTTGGCTCCTGTCATCATCTATAGTACTTTTACCTGGAGCTGCCCCTTCCATGCCTTCAGCGACATGCCCCATACGGCAGTTGAACACATAAGACATGGCTAGTCTGCACGGAGACGTGCTGTGACGTGTGACATGCACACCAGTTTTGAAAACTTGATGCAGTAAAAAGAATATAAACATAGGTCATTACTAACTTTTGTGTTGATTACATATTAAATAATACCATTTTGGGTGATATCAAGTTAAAGTATAGTACTAAAATTTATTTCACGTGTTTCTTCTATATTTTTATATGTGGCTACTAGAAAATTTAAAATTATGTATGCAGTTTCCATCATATTTCAATTGAATAGTGCCACTCTTGAGGAAAGGGGAAAAAGGGGTGTGGATAAAGCATCCCAAATCCTGAACCCCCTTGTGGGGGTTGGTCACATGGCCATTTCTCACTGTAAACAGAGCTGAGAAATGTCATTCTGGGATTACAGCTACTTCCTGGCAGCAGCATTCCCCAGGAAAAGGAGAGAGTGGCATAAATGTTAGTGTGCAGCCCTACTGTCTCTCCTCTAGAAACATTTAAAATAAAACAAGGGAACATGCCATTCTTGGCTAGGTTCTTGTATTAGAAGAAACACAGAAAAATCCCAATGAAGTGGCCAGAGAGAAAAAGAACATGATTAGTAGAACTGAAAGTAGGAATGGGACCAGCAGTTAGCGTAATGGCTATGTCGCTGGACTCCCACGTAGTCGAC